TAATAACCTTTGTATTCCCTGCACTGACTTTTGTCTTTTCCACACTGATTTTTGTCTTCGCTACACTGTCTTTTGTCTTTGCTACACTAACTTTGGTCTCCCATACACTGACTTTCGTCTCCTCCACAATAACTTTTGTCTTCACACTGACTATTGTCTATCCTACACTGAGTTTTTATTTCCCTAAACTGACTTTTGTCTTCCTTGTGCAATAAATTTTGTCTTCCCTATACTGATTTGAGTTTTTTCTACACTGACTTTTGTTTTCCAAACACTGACAGTCTTCTGCACACTAAATTTTGTCTTTCCTACACTGACTTTTATTTTCCCTACACTGACTTTTGTCTTCCCTACGCTGACTTTTGTCTTCCCTACACTGACGTTTGTATTTATTTTTTCCTACACTGACTTGAGTCTTCTCTACACTGACTGGAGTCTTCTCTACACTGACTTTTGCCTCCCATACACTGACTTTTGTTTTCTCTACAATAACTTTTGTCATCCCTTCACTGACTTTTGCATATTCTACGCTGACTTTTCTCTTTCCTACACTGACTTTGTCTTTCCTACACTGACTTTTTTCTTTTCCACAGGTAACTTTTGTCTTCCCTACATTGACTTTTGTCATTCCTACACTGACTTTTGTCTTCCATACACACACTTTTGCCTTCTTCACAGTTTTTTTAAACATAAGAAAGCTTTATTAGCATTTCACAGATTTCCGACAATCTAGCGCTAATTTCCAAAAAAACATTTTCGAATTACACAGACCATTAAAAACCTTAAAAACCATTTCTTTACATTGACATCATTTACAAATTTCCAATTTTAAAATAATAGCATTGAAATAATACATTATACATTGTAGATATACATCATATTACACATTTTCAAAATACGGGTGGATTCATTTGAGAGATTCCTTATACAGTAGTATTTATTGGTATAAGAACGATCGTTTCAGACTCTTATTTCGGCATTTAGGCAGTGAAAGGTGGTTATAACGTCCTTTTTAGTTTCTTCCCTCCTGTCACTGGTGACCATGTAGTGCAGGGGGTGGCTTGCCCGCATCTGGGTAAGTAGAGTTCTCGCTGCTTCCTCCCGCCGTAACTGAAGTGTGGGCAGAACCAGCGGTACAGACGTCGGGCTGATGTTGTTTTTGTTTACGATTTTCATGGCTCGATTTTGTACAGCCTCGAGAGTCTTTCTTTGTGACTCAGTACACCCCACATATACAACATTTGCATATTCTAATACCGGCCATACAAGGATCCTGTACACAGTGACCAGGTCTTCAGGAGGCATGCCGCCCTTGGCCAGAAGGCGGAGGAAGTGTAGGCGCCTGGATGCCTTCCTAGTTACATGTGTGATCTGACAGTCCCATCCAAGGTTGGAATGTACCTTAAAACCCAGCTAAGTTGCACAGTCGACCACTGGCACTTCTGTTTCTCCTAGGATGAGGGGGGGGGGCGCTCGTCACTGAATGACATCCAGTAAATTTCTAGCGGGGACCAATCAGAGGGCTGCTGAATAATTTGAATAATTTATCAAGGCCCACGGACGCGGTTCTTTCACTTGTAAAGTAGCCAATTATGGCACACGATGGGCGAAAACATGTATTTCACACCCATTGTACGTCGACATCAAGCGCTTATACATTACAAACAGAATTTTCGTAGGTCTGCCATTACTTTAGTTTGCAGCATGTGTATTGAGAACGAGTATCTTCATAATTCTGCTGGCTGTTTGTAGAAGAACGGCGGAATAAAATGTAACCGAGGTGGAATTCACCAGTTCTTTTCGGATGCTGCACGGGAGACTAACTACAGGGCTAGCAAGAACACACGCAGGACACAGGCATGGCCGTCACACGCGCACGGGAGACGTGGGCTGGGACAGTCTTTTCTGTAACCTTCTCTCGAGCTCTCTCTGTCTCAGACTGTCTTTCAGACTGTTCTCTCAACCCACAGAACTCCCAGCTTTTATTGTCAAACCACAGACTGAACACAGATTGAACAACAGACAGTCGTCTGGCAAGGGAACAACACAACATTTCGCACCTATCCCACATGTCCTTGATGTTCCTATCATCAAAGCCTCGAATTAGCATAACCAGATTATCACACTGGCCACAAAAGCATTATACATAAAAAGTGTCATTTTCAACCCCTTACATCCACCCCTATTAAAATGCGAGCCGTCCCGGCGAGCGTACAACGTTTTTCTTTTCATAAAACAACAAATATAAATACAGCAAAGATACATAGAAATACATAATAAAACAGGATGCAAGCAATACACATGATAAACAATTGCAATTCATCTACACATAGGAATGAAGGATATTGTTCCGTAGAATAGATCAAATTTGTCAAGCTTAAAAGTACATGAGTTTTTCAAGAGTCTGTAGATCGGTTTTATATATATATCAACACATCATTAGCTACACATCAAGACCCCTTCCTTCCTGGACCAGGGCGTCGTCTCACGTCACACGGCCTCAGCACCGCTCGCAGGTCCTCCACTGCGGAGTCAGCAAATCACAAACTTCACATCACAGGTCCCCGTGTTGCGTTGTCCCTTCACCTTCCATTGGTTGCACCGCCACGGACGCCCTCCCCACGTCTCCTGCTGGTCACCGTCTTCCTTCAGAAGTTCCCTCGGCGTGTCGGTCCGCTGGTTCAGGGATCCGATTAGGAATCTGACTGGTTCGGCCCACGTCCTTGTCGTGTGGGGTGCAGGGATCAGCCATGGAAAAGGGTCAACACACGCACGCACAAACAACTGACCGTCCACATCTGTCTATT